AGTGCACCCTTTCGTACCTGCATCTTCCGCCCGCCCCCAGCTGCCGTCGCTTGCCAGGTTGCCCTCGGCCCACCTGGGGGCGATCAGGGGTTCGCACCTCGTCTTGCAGGCCCCCCGCTTCCTCACCCCGTCCCTCCCTCTCCGTGGTCGTTGTCGCCCACTTCCCTCTCCAGTTTCACGCTTTCATCGGTGGGCGCTGCAAGTGACAAGCTCAGGGTGTCCAAGCTTGCCTCATCGGGCTGTGTGACAGTGGGGAAGTATCGCTTACCGTGCTCGCTCGCAAGGGCTCAACTTGAGCGTCCAAGGTTCCAGCATCCTTACCTCGCATCATCATGATCCTGTCGCGCTGCAGTTAATTCTGGCTCCGACCAATGTGGAGGGGGCCTGCCGCGGAGTCATGGAGCCGAGTGGCCCGATTGTGGTGGCCGCGGTGATCGCTGTGTGGGTGGCCCTCAGTGCAAGTCTTATAATATTTAACGCCGAGCTGCTGAGCAGCTTCCGGCATCCAATCCTCTTGACTTGCTGGCACCAGTTTGTTAGCGTCGTCCTTATTCAGTGGCCTGCGGCAAGTCCCGCAACTGTGCCAGTCCAGCACCTTGGGTGTCGACTGTTCGGGGGGTGCATAGGAGGCCGAAACATGTGACTACTCGTGTCCCGTGGCTTGGGAGAGCTGTAACATGTGACACATTCTTCCGCGTTTTGCCGTGTGTGTGTGTGTCTGTGTGGATGTCTTTGGGTGAGTGGGCACTTAGTGTAGAATAACAGAACAGCCCTGCCAGACAGCACTTGGCAGTCTACCAGGCTTCAACGTGCAAGGGGGCACGGTGGCGGTTTTTGTGCATCCGCGCAGGATTTCCCTCGCTTGTCTCCACGGGCGACCCCGAGAAGGGGGTTGCTCCGTTAACTCTGTGGTCGGCCGTGAGGCTGGGGCTTCCCGTGGCGCTGTGCCAGAGCATCGGCCTGGTGTCTGGGAACACGGCGGTGATGTACTTGAGCGTCGCGTTCTGCCAGATGATCAAGGCGTTCACCCCCGCGTTCGTGTACGCCAGCGGCTGCGCCTTCGGCACTCAGCAGTGGTCGGTCCCGATCGTGAAGTGCCTGTGCGTCATCACCTTCGGCCTGGCGGTCACCAGCGTAGGCGAGCTGAACTTTCACCTGTTTGGCTTCGTGATGCAGGTGATCGCCTTGCTGTCGGAGGGTCTGCGCATCACCTTCCTGGAGTTGCGCCTGAAGGCTAACGGGCACAAGCTGACGGCGCTATCCTCAGTGATGGTGTTCGCCCCGATGGTCTGCGTGATGTTGTTCCTCTCGGCCCTACTCTTCGACCAGTCGGCCTTCAACGCGGAGCAGATTACCAAGATCGGCGTGGGGGTGTTTTGCGCCAACGCCTTCGTGGCCTTCCTGTTGAACCTCGCGATCTACCTGGCCATACAGTGCGCTTCTGGTCTTATCTTCACGCTGGCGGGGATCTTGAAGGATTTCCTGATCGTTGCTGGGAGCTGCGTGATCCAAGGCACCCAGATATCGACCACCCAGCTCGTCGGGTACACGATCGCGATGCTGGGCCTCCAGGCGTACGGCATGGTCAGCAGGTCGCCCGCGGACTTCGAGGACGGCGTCGTGGTGGCCATGCTCCGGAAGGCCCTCGAGTGCGAGAAGCAGGTCCGCGAGCCCCTGCGCCCGAGCGCCGCAGGGCCCAGTGGGCCTGGCAGCGGCGGCGAGGACGACGAGGAGTCGAACCAGGGCCCGGCCAAGCCAGTGGCAGACCGGGGCTGCTGACGGGGATGCTGGCTGATTGGGGCGAGGGCACGGCCGCCAGCAGCCTCGTCTCGGGGGGCCAAGCGAGGGGGGGATCGACCGGCTCAGCCCCGGCTTCGGGTCCGCCGTGCTCTGGCTGATTTCTTGTTCGACCTGCAGGTGCGTCGGGGATGCAGTGGAGACCCATGCCAATGAACACCCTGCTTGCCTCCAGGGTGCCCTGGGTTTCGATGGTTTCGATGGTTTTGCTTTGGAAAGCGTGACGCTCCCACACCGAAAGTCAATGGACGTCCTGGGGTCTCAGGGTTGGGTTTCTTGCGGAAGGTTTCTGGTGACCTGGCTTCCACTGTATACACCCCAAGCGCCGCGAAAAAGTGGAGCGGACAGTTCTGCCCTGCTTTTTGCGAAATCTCCCCAAAACTATACGGCGGATCCGGGGTCAGTGAGGGGGGGAGATGCATCACCTCCAGTTGCCCATGCATCGCCGACAGGGGCCCAGTGCCCCACCCCGCCCAGGACAGTGCGCCTTTGCTATCGGGGGCCCATCGCCGATCTATTGGGATGCACTCTAAAGTGAGCTGGGCATTGCATGTGAGTGGGAACGAGCGTGCATCCGCGGCTGCTTGGCTCAAAGCGGTCGGCCGCCCAGATCTGACTACACCTCAGCGCGAGGTGTACTATTTGCCATCGATACCAAAATACTGCTTGAGATGGCTCGCCCCCTACTACTGGGACTATCGTTACTACGGTAAAACAGAGCGGTAGTAGCTGGGCTTCGCCTAAGGCGAAGCTGTTGGTTGGGCCTCCCAACCTCTTTTCAAACTTGGTAGCGGAGCTGGCCTATGGTAGTCAGTTCTTGCTCTACTCCTCACCATCCACGGCACTATCTGGTGGACTACAGACGTGGTGGAACATCAGGGTGCAGTGGGTTTGCGCGGAAGAATGTATATAACTACGCAGTATGGGACACTTGCAGTGACACTTCTGCTCACGCGGAGGCCTCTTACTTTCGTCCTACATCCCTGCGCTACTACACTCCTGAAATCCATCCACCTGCTCCAATTGGAAACTTCTTCGATGACATAATGCATGAAAACATGCGATACCATGCGGTGCCGCCTCCACCCCCACGCAGACGTACGACCACACATCGGAAACCCCAACCGACTACATCCGACCACGACCTGCGAGGCCAATGGATTGGTGTTACTAGATTTGGGCTCGCATGGGTCGCTATCGGGTGTGCGGTAGGACATATGCGTGGCGGAGACGACACAAGAACGACCGGCCCGAATTGGGACCCAGCCTGTCAGGTAACTTTCCGCGAATTCGTCCGCGAGGTACATGCCTGGATCAACGTGACCACAGGCAACATGACGCCCTCCCAACAAGCTGCAGCCCTGCAGCGAGGCTTGGGAGGCCTCGCGCGGACCATAGCCATGAGAGTCCCCCCAGCAGTTATTAATTGTGGCGTTAACGTAGGTGGCCGCCATACCGACGGCGTCACCTACACCACGTTCCTCGTAAGCACGATGTTCGAGAATAAGAAGAGGAGCGCCAACTCAACTCTGGTACAACTCTCATTGACGTCCGAGTTGATGCGGGAGAACGAATCGACCAGACGTTGGCGCGCTTCGAAATAGCCCGCCATGAAGCTGAAACGGCAGGCTTTAACCTCCCAAACTTCCACATCTTAACAGTTGTTTTATTTAGAGCTCTTGGAGTGGGGACATCGCGTGCACAGCAACTCCTGCAGCCACTCAACCACCACATGCCGATAGACCAGCAACAGTTTGACGCTCTACTTGAGCGCACGAGTTCAGATGCGCACATTGCTGAGAGAACCCCTGGCAATATTGGTGGTATTTTCAGTCACGGTCACCGAACCGAGACCTCCCACGTGAAGGCAAACGCAGGGCAACCTGGTAAGAACGTCTGGAATGACGATCCACAACCAACTGAGACCACTACACTACTGGCGCAGAATGGTGGATCGGCCTCGGGGTCGCAAGACTCCCGGGTCAGGTTTCGGGGGCCGCCCGACGCGGTATCCCCTACACAAGCCACAACATGAATGGGCTCAGCGGGGCAACCTGCCGAGTCCGACTTCGACTCCGATACTGACACCGATGCGTCTTCGGACGACGAGGCCACGGCCTTTGACTACTCCGATATGCTTACATACCTCACGGGAGAGCAACAGGCGCAATGGTTATTCTTAGGGCACCAGAAGCATGAATGCAGGTGGAGGCGATTTTATGAAGAAGCCAGTTCGCAAGGCACGGCGTGTCGTCCGACGAGCACCCAAGGGAAAAGGCAAGGGTCGAGGTAAGGGTAAAGGTAAGCGTCGGCGGCTACATGGCAGAGGCATACTAGAATTCCTAGCATCCCGTACCGGGCCACAGTATGAAGATATATTCTTAGGTGCGGGCAGGAATCGTAGGCATACATCAGGAAAAGGTAAGGGACGTGGGGGAAGCCCGAAGGATGCCAATGGCAAAACTATGGAATGCGACATGTGTCATAGCACACAGCACTTTCGCCGCGAATTCCCTCAGGGCGATGGGGGAGGCAGAGGTCCGTCGATGCATCTGGCTCAAACTGACTCGGACATACAGTTTGTTGACTGGGAGTCAGTTTTAGCCGATCCTGCCGATAGCTCAGCTGGAGTTGTTAATTTCATGGCTGCCAGGTATTTGAGTGCCAGTATGTCCCTCGAGAATTGCGCCGACGAGCTGTTCGAGGTTATTCACTGGCCACAGCGATATCGATCTGGCAGACTGGCTGGGCATGCCCATCGCGGGGCAACCTGCAGACATTGAATATGTCGAGAACTTCCACATGCCCGCCGAAGGAGATGGCGCAACGGCGGGGACACCCGCGGATTCAGAGGCCACTATTCCTGCAACAGAGGAGGAAATACAGTTGATGCTTTATCCTCGGGTTACTGGAAATCCGACAAACATGGAATTGAGTGGCGATGATCCTTTGCGGGGAAGCCCGCGAGACGTTAGCGATCTGTCTGAGCGCATCCAATATGAGCTTGGCCACAATGAAGGATTTCAATGCACATTTGTAGCTTCGGACCGCTCCATAAGCCGCCAGGAGCGATCGGCAAGCCGCCAGTTCTGGAGACGGAAGTATCGCGCCGACGACGATGACGACGAATGGGGAAGATGATGTTCGTCTGGTACGTCGCGGTCAGATCCCCCGTCGCTCGCCCAACCGTGCGCGCGCGCTCCAGCGGCGCTCGCTCCAGCGGCCTTCAGCGCCCCCATCCTCCTGATTCGGGAAATCCAGGGACCCCGCCATGGCAGGTCAAGCGACCTGACGCCCCCCCGAGGAGGGGGGGTCTGCGGGGGCACCCGCCTCAAGGGGATCAACCTCGAGGAGAATATCCAGATGACGAAATACAGCGGCTGGTTAGCTACTCGGAGGCTGGGTTGGCTCGCCAGCACATGCGCCCAGATATGATGCAATACTGGTTGGGCCAGGTTTGGACTGAGCACCAGATTCGTCACTGGCATTTCTCGCGAGGTTGAACGCAATGAAAACGGCAAGATCATTCGCTCAAAAAGGACCGGACCTGACAAACCACAAGAAAAACTTATCAAGCGCGACCTCAAGAGGGCAACCGTCGAGGAACGGAAACTTTACAGAGGCGTTGCTTGCGCGTGCCCCGATTATGCCGACCACGGGCTTGGCTGCCCCATGAGACGCCCATCAAGAAGCCCTGACTTTCGCAAGACACCGTGGGCTTGGTCTCATGGCGATGGTCGGGGCTACTGCGCCGATCCGAATGCAACGCCATGGAATGAGCAGCTGACGGAAAACGATTACGAGCCAGCTACAGCCGACGAAATATCCCAGTCTATGAAGATTTGGGCACACCGTTCACTTCTTCATTATTTGAAGGCAGTCAATCGCGAGTGGAACGCGGGGAAACCTGCTTCGCCCAAATCAGAAGAAGACGACCAACAAGGAGCTGATGGAGCTGGAGATGGCTGAAGAGGTAGACCCCATGGAAGCAGCTCCTGCAGGGTGCGCCTCGGACTACTCCGACACCCTCGCCACTGGCACGGGCACTGCGCATGATACAGACACCCCTATGGATCCTAAGTACGTCGTTACTGAAGAAATGGATCTTTCTCCAGAGAGATGGGTTGTCTATCGCGCTGGATCTGTAGGCTGGGTAAAGACCGGAATAAGACAGAGGCTTAGCTCTACCAAATACCACGCGACCGCAAAGGGAAAGGCCACTATCGGCAATGTGGCACTCAGAAAGCATGATGGTATAGACCTTAATCCTGACAGAGGGCCCGTGCGATATGGGCCATGGATACCTGCAGGGGCAACGGCTAAAGCACCTCCTCCCATGCCGAAGACAGATCCGCCCATTGATATTTCACCATCTTCGGAGTCGTCGAGTCAGTCTAAGTCACTCGGACCTGATCAGCTCAGACCACCGCCCAAACAGAAGAAGAAGAGGCCAGATGATCCCAATCCTTGGAGATAGCAAGCTACACCGACCGGCGGGGCAACCTGCTGATCGGCGTCGACCCAGAAGACCAGCAGTGGCCGCCGCAGCAGCTGCATTTCAAGGCACCAGCACTCCTACTCCGAAGGGCCCTGTACCACGTCGCGGCCCTACACCTGGCCGGACACGCAGGACTGGCTGGATGCCGACACTGGAGGGATCATCCAGGGATGCTTCTTCAACACGGCGTGGTACCGATAAGAAACTAGTGGAAACTACATCAAAGGCAACAGGGGCAGCCCCCAAAGATAAGACATACGAGTACTACAACGTCAATGAGAAGAAACGCCAAGACTTCGACATCCGTACCCCGCCAAGGACTCCTCGGGCGCCCAGGGGAACGGCAGGCGCTGCCTCGTCATCGGCAGGCGCTCGTGCACCCGCAGCATCGGCAGCAGCTCAGAATTCTGCGGGGCAACCTGCTCAGAGTTCTGCGGGGCAACCTGCTCTTACTTTGGAAGTGCCCGCTGGGTGCCGAGAGTAT